GAGGTGATCGCGCAAATGTGCCACTTGAGTGTTTATGCGCGTCTTGACACCTTTGGCGGTAAATCGTCGCCCTTTCGCAAAATCGCAAAGACGGGCCGGTGACGCGGACGCGCCACCCTCTAACCTCATCCAGGGTGACATCATACAACTCGGCCTGTCCCCCTCCCCCCGCCCCCAGGGGTCTGCGCCACCCTGAGCCCGGCTTTCAAAGAACCGCCCTCTCCGCCCCCCACAATCAGATCCAGCGGCCGATTAATGAAGCGTTTCCTCACATTGTCCCCGTCGGTTCGGCCAATTCGTAAAGTGCAATTGCTCATTTACACAATAATCGGAGGGGGAGGATAGTGCATGTAGACAGGAAGTGGCAGCAAAGGGGCTGCGGGAGATCGGCAGGGGGATTTTATTCCACAAATGACGATTTATAACGCGCAGGAAATGGGGGAATATCTATGAAGCTGTGAATGTGACCTATACCAAACATTCACTGCTGGTGAATCACACGCACCTGGAATATTCCCCTGCAGTGAATGATCGGTGAATGTCCCTGCTGGGAGTTGTAGTTCCTCCATAGCTGCCTCAGATTGCCCGTCCTGGCGCTCTGCATCCCTCGCCGTGCCAGGAGCGCCGGAGGCTGACCCCTCAGCTGTTCCCCCTTTGGCTTGGGATCGGCGTCAGAGGAGTGGTGGCGCGTGACAGCGGCGGATCGCGCATCTGGCGGAACGTCGACACTCAGCGCGGCCGGATAATGTTTTCGTAACCGCCGCTGATTTCCCAAAGAGGTTTCCGCGGCAGTTCCACCTTCCTCTGTCGCCCGGTCACAGACTTCTGTCACGTCAAAGTGGACCTGTCATCAGCTTCCAGGTATGTATGAGATCACACGACTCCCCCCTGACATCTGCTTTTCTCTCCGTGAGGACGGCGCCATCTTTGTTCAGACATCGCCCGGGGTCACCATCTACTTCCTGGACCGAGGTGTCGACGTCGTTGTATACTGAGAATGTATTCATGTTAAGTTACTGACAGGTCCACTTTGAGCGCTCTCGTTCCCCTTTTGCTATTCGTAGGGCAGCACGTCTGACCCATTCGGCTGGGTTCACACCTATGCGTATCGAATACGCGCGTTTGTCGCGCGGTTTTTACCGCGATACGCAGTTAAAAAAACGCGCGTTTCCGAGGGCTACCTGGCTGAATCCGAATGGATACGCGCGGCAAATACGCCCCAAAGAAGCTCGTCTACTACTTTGGGCGTATTGGAGCGCGTTCCTACGCACGGTAACACGCCCAGGTGGGAGCCGCGCCCATAGGCAATCATTGGTTTTCACATGTTGAGCGTTGTAACACGCCCAGGTGTGAACCGGGCCTAACACTGTGTAATAAGGTTTATCCGGAGTTCTACTTTAATACAAAGAGCAACGGCGCCACCTTGTGCTCAGACATTGAAACATCGGCCGCTGTCACCTCCTTTCTGCTCCGTCACATCAAATCTGATCCGCTAAAAAACAACCCCGAAAAGACCCGTCGCCAACAGCAACCCTGAATAGACCCGTCGCCAACCGCAACCCCGGAAAGACCCGTTGCCAACCGCAACCCCGAAAAGACACGTCGCCAACCTCAACCCTGAAAAGAGCTATAACCAGCTGAGTTTGCTTTTACAATTCAGAGTCTGACATTTTGATTTTTAGTATAAATTAAATATATAACCGAAGGTCAAAAGTAATGTAACACTGCAATATGGCCACTAGATGGAGCTGAGGAGCACATGAAGGTAGAATGTATTTCCTAAGTGCTGCAGCTCCATCTAGTGGTCACAGCTCAGTATTACATCGCATTAGACCTGAAGAGAAAACCTCCTAAGAACGTTCACTTTGCCTCCACTTCCACAGAATGAACGTTCACAGAGATCTGCAGGGCGAACGGCTCTCTGAGTTGTTTATAAATAGATCCCGTAGTGTTGTCACCCTATAACAGGAAGTGTCCGAACAAGAATCTTTATGGCACAATCAAGATGGAAAATTTTCATGAAAGTTGCAGATTTTGGGGATTTGGAGAACAAGTTGGAACGTCTGTGGATGGCAGAATGTCAAACCTTTCCCGGCTCCACACAGAACCGGAACCGTTTGGACTTTGGACGCATTGTAACTATTGAATGCGCCGTGTTTCCTCGCAGGGATTTTATCAGATTCATGTGGATGGTAACTATGTATTTGTTTCCAGGATATAAAGGAGGCCGAGGCGCGGAGCGTCAGCAAATATTTACTTAACCCAAATAGAAGTGTGACACGGGAAGACGCACAACGCACAACGCACGTTCCAAAACCAACACGATCCCCTTTCCTTTAACTTTTCCTTCTTTCCTCCCAAAGATACGACGAATTGTTAAGGCGCTCCTCCACTCCCGCGCTAATTCTCCAACAGAACTGACAATCTTTTACGTCCCCGGTCTTCTCTTGCGCCCGGTAACGTCTCGCCATCAAAGTATAAAGCCGCTCTGAGAATGTTTTACAATAAAAGGAAAAGAAAACACGAAAACATTTGAAAAGAAATTATTTGTTTTATTTTGTTGTGTTCATGTCAGGAAGGGCGGCGTTGCTCTGTCAATAATCTGCAGGACCGCCCCCGAGGGACAGGCTAGAATGACCTCACAGAGTACAAACCTGAATCATCATCATCATTATTACTGAAGAAATCACTTCCTTAAAGGGATTATCCACTTCTAGAAGAAAACGGCAACAAATCACTTCAGTTTTAAACCTAGAAGCCAAAACTGGTGACACCTCTTTACCGGGGACGCACTGCTGAGAATCCCAGGGTGCGCCACGCTCTGCAGCACGCTGCTGTCAAAGAACGGCAAGTGGGAGGAGCCACAACATTCTTTGGTAATTGTAGGAAAATAAAGCTTTATTGTAAATTTTTATCCCTCACAAAAAAAATAACTTTATCCTCTATAAATGGAGATTCGCGTCACCCGAAATGTGCAGCCGGAGCGACGACCCCGCCCCCCCCTGGGAAAGTGCGACGAGACACGCGGATGATAGAAATCATGATGGAAGAGATCCCACGACGGGTGCAGCGGATTATCAATGACGGGGCGGATTCTGGTAACCCACAGCAACCAGATATCACGTTACTGAGCACATACATCTGGATCTCTGATTGGTCGGTCGGGGAGAGCTGCACTCGTCAGTCATAGGGAGCAAATGGGAACTACATGATTCAATGGGACGGCACTGATGTGGTGGGCGGGAACGCAGGCGGAGCTCAGAGCTGTGGGCGGGAACAGGGGGTGACTGTCCCCCTCCCACGACATGACGTCATCAGGTCTTTTGTAAACCAATAGGAGGAGGGAATGCGACCAAGGAGCTTACGTCTCCACAGCAGCACAGCCCGGAAGAAACAGGAGGCCGGAGGGACCCGATTGGGGGACAAGAAAGGTCCAGCGTGTAGTACATTGTTAATTCGGCTCCTCACGGGCTGGGGTTCAGCTTCAAAGCTCATTTACAGGCAAGTTCCGACCCCTCCGGGAAACCTCTGACCCCCACCGGGCAAGTTCTGACCCCCTCCGGGCAAGTTCTGACCCCCTCCGGGAAACCTCTGACCCCCTCCGGGCAAGTTCTGACCCCTCCGGGAAACCTCTGACCCCCTCCGGGCAAGTTCTGACCCCCTCCGGGCAAGTTCTGACCCCCTCCGGGCAAGTTCTGACCCCCTCCGGGCAAGTTCTGACCCCCTCTGGGAAACCTCTGACCCCCTCCGGGCAAGTTCTGACCCCCTCCGGGAAACCTCTGACCCCCTCCGGGCAAGTTCTGACCCCCTCCGGGCAAGTTCTGACCCCCTCTGGGAAACCTCTGCCCCCCTCCGGGAAACCTCTGACCCCCTCCGGGAAAGTTCTGACCCCCTGCGGGTACGTTCTTACAGCCTCCAGGAAAGTTCTGATCCCCTGCAGGCAAGTTCTGATCCCCTGCGGGCAAGTTCTGACCCCCTGCGGCCAACGTTCTGACCCCCTGCGGCCAACGTTCTGACCCCCTGCGGCCAACTTCTGACCCCCTCCGGCCAACTACTGACCCCCGCCGGCCAACTA